GAACTTCAAGTGCCTCTGGATTACACAAAACGACCTGCCCACCTGGCTGCATTGAGGGACCCAGGCAGCAGACTATACAGTACTCAAAATGATTTGCTGACATTAAACATTTTTTTCCACTTTCCGAGCTGCCCATTGCTCGCATTGGGAAGTGCTGCTTGTGTAACCATTCCCATTGAACATTGGTTCCAGTGCGTAGGCATTTTGGAGCTGATTTATAAAGGCTTCATACAAACTAGAAAGATGAGAAACCATCATTAGCACCTTCTTATGACTGTCTTGGGATTTATAAAGAAAAAATTACACTGAAAAGTTTGCATATTTATGAACTTTATGAACAGAGCTGTTTTACAAATGTTTTGGAGGAAATAGAAAAAAGGAACATCTAGAGCTTATATGGAAATGTGCATGTAAGTTGCATTTACAGCTAGTTTTATCACTTGGTGAAATGTTTATGAAGGAATACAGAAACATTAGTATTATATCTGACAACAAAAATTCAGCCTTTGTTTTGCATAATTCAACATATTGTTTTAAATGAACGACCTTCTATAGATCAATACAATTATTGTGTATAATCTAATACAGGTGTGTGAACTGAAAAATCAAATGTCCACCCACATGTAACAGGCCCATGCATAAATATGTCACATGCAGCATCATAAAGGCATATTTAGCTTTGTTAGAGGACATTGTGCATGGCCAAATATAAAGGGAGCAAGTATTTAGATATCACAATGATTATTTTTTGATGATTTGTGGCTTATCAGTTGTTTTAGACTGGGAAGAGTGATTCTGTTGGAATTGTGTGATGAATTGACCTCGGAACATACCAACAGGCTGACATATCAGGGATATCCCAGTCTACATCGAGTTCCATTATTCCTCAGGTTGTGGCTGATGTTAAGAGACTGTCAAGACAGTATATTAAGTTTGCCTATGGCGTGGATCTACAGACAAACACCGCAATGCAATTTGCAGCAATGTCCAGCTTTCTTAATGCTGTCCATGCTGTTGACTGCAAGCACGTTGCAACAAAAACACCATCAGAGAATGAAGTTGCTTTTCTGACCAGAAACCAGTTTTATTCCCTCAATGTGCATCTCATCTGTGATGTTGTCATGGTGTTAACAAATGTTGTCGTGTGTTAACCTTATTTTAAGAAACAGCAATGTAGGGGTAAGTTAAATGCCAGAGTTTTTGTATATCTAAGTTTTCCTTTGACTGATATTTTCATGTACTACTCCCAAGAAACTTTACCCACTTATAATACGTTTTATGGTTCTCTAATCAGCCTGATCTGGGCTGGGTTCAACCTTATTTATTGTCATCATCTCTTGGTTTTTTTTATTCTGTAGATATGTTTCATTTGTGCCTGTGGAGTAGCCAGCAGGTATTGCCCTGGTGGGTTGGGGTAGCTTGGGATTCATGGTACATTTTCACTGGCATTTGGCCTTGGGCTTCTGGTTAGCCAGTTTCTGTGCTGGGGGCTTCATGACCCCAAATGGCCAGCCTTCAATAGCCGGTGTGCTGTCTGCTGCAGTCCTGCCTTTGGGGGTTTTTTTTTTTACCAGTGTCTTAGGTTTTGTTTTATGTTTTCTCTTTTAGGTTCCCTGGTTCCTGTTTACCAGTCCTTTGCATTTGAGTCTGTCTTCTAGTTATTCTCATTCTCTGGTTCCCTGGAGCTATCCACCCAATCAGTGGCCCAATCCTCCCGGTTCCCTCTTAACAGCAGTGTTGGGATTGTAGGTCTTGTGGACCAGGGGGCAGAAAACCAGGCATGATGGAGGGGAAGCCCAAGGTGAGGTGTTCTGTCACAGACCTGGTTTTATGAAGCCTAATAAACATTATTAATCTGTGTGCTGTGAGTCCAAGTCGTGACAGAAAATGACAATCCTAATGAGAATTGATTGTCTGATTAATGAAGCCATCCGTCTCCAGTTAACCAAACAAAACTAAGCTGGTTAAGAAAAACTGGTATTGTGAAAATGCTGATTCATGCTATGTAGATTCTTAGGTGAACCGGAGCTGGCATTTAGAGGAAACAATGAGAAATCCTGCTACAATGATGTTCTGGCTTTTGTTGGTATGTTTGTACTGCACAAGTAACGTAGAACAAAAGAGTTAAGCTGTGTAGCCTACTCATATTTTAATCAAGTCACTCCATTAATTTTACTTGTATTTCTATAATGACTGTATTTCAGAAATGACACATTGAAAACTGTTGCAAAGCATAGTTTTTGTCAGCATCACTTTCTAAGCATCAGCTCCCCAGGATAATAGTTACACAACTGAAGACTTGGGTTACAGGATAAATAGGACTATATTTGACTGATAGTCATGGTCAACTGTAAGTGGTAGTATTGCAAAGTGGAAGCTTTTAGGAACAGAATCTGTGTGAGGAGCATAGTGCATAAAAGCAGCCAATGCTCTGTTGACTTAATAACTGCAGAGTTCCTAACTTCCCCTGCATAAACCCCAGCACAAACACTATGTACAGGGACATTAATGGAATGTGCTTTCGTGGGCAAGCAGCTGCATGCAAGCCTCATATAGCCAAGCACAATGCCGGGCATATGATGGGGTAGTATAAAGCACCCTGCCACTGGACTTTGGAGCAGTGGAAACGTGTCCTGTGGAGTTACGAATCACACTTCTGTCTGGCAGTCAGATGGATGAGTGTTTGTTTGGCGGATGCCAGGAGAACGTTACCTTCTTGACTGCAATGTGTCAACTGTAAAGTTTTATGGAGTAGGGATAATGGTATGGGGTTGTTTTTCAGGGGTTGGGCTAGGCCCCTTAGTTCCAGTGAAGGGAATTCTTAATGCTTTAGCATACCAAGACATTTTGGACAATTCTATGCTCGCAACTTTGTGGGAACAGTTTGGGAAAGACTCTTTTCTGTCCCAGCATGACTGCACCCCAGTGCACAAAGTAAGGTCAATAAAGACATGGTTTAGTGAGTTTGGTGTGGAAGAATTTGACTGATCTCAACGCCATCAAACACCTTTGGGATGAACTAGAATGGAGATTGCAAGGCAGGCCTGCATATACAACATCAGTGCCTGACCTCACAAATGCTTGTCTGGATGAATGGGCAAACATTCCCGCAGACCCACTCCACTATCTCGTGGAAAGCCTTCCCAGAAGAGTAGCAGCTGTTATTGCTGCAAAGGGGGGACCAATTCCATATTGATGCCTATGGAATTAGAATGGGATGTCACAGAAGTTCCTGTAGGTGTAATGACCAGGTTTCCCAATAAATTTGTCCATATAGTGTATGACAGTTATACCTGACTTTCCAGGTGCACCCTGTTTAAATAATTAGATGAATTATAAAAGAAATCACGTGCATGTATATATCTCTTCTTCCAAACTATACTGCCCATGAACAAGAACAGACACAAGCTAAATTTTCTGTACACGTGAATAACTCGGCCCAGTCCACTTAAAAAAACTGCCTGCGCATTGGTCCTCCGGTGACTCACTATGTTTTTCCGACCAATCGGCACGAAAATAAAAAACAAAAAAAGAGCAAAACGAGAAATTTTACAACGTATTTTTGCGCTACGGTGCGTTTGTTCTCTCTATACTGTACGTCTAGCAGACCGCCTGAAGTATAGGGTGGTGGTGGGAATGGTCCTGGCTTTATTAAATTTACTAAATTACTAAGGAAATGTGGAAAGGTTCCTACCTAGTTTTACCAATTCATATTGGTGCAATAAGTAAATAAACAAAAGTCTACATTGTAAATAATGTACACTGCTTTCATATTTTCTTTCTAGATTTCTACTTATTAATTATTACATCTAATTATGTATTACTTCTAATTAATTTAGTTATGTATTTATAATAGTAGTATAATTATCTAATAGGGATATTTCACCGAGTTACATTTGCACCACGCTTACTTGTTTGTTCTACATGTATATGTGTACTGTCTTTGCACGTTGTCTGTTTTGCACTATGTGCATGTTCATCTGTGTACTGCGCTCTTGCTGCTGTATGCGCCACAGTTTACCCCTGAGATTAATAAAGTCAGTCTTATTCATCTTCATGTTAACCATAATCTTGCTAACCGCCTATCTTGGGGTGCGTTTCCCAAAAGCATAGTTGCTAACTTACGTGACTGGAACTATTCAAATACGACTCGAGTGTTTCCCGAAACCATGGTCTGGTCTAGGGCGCATCGCACAGTGCACAAAGCTCTGGCGACATCTAACGTTTCCATGGTGAAAGTGCATCCTTATACCGGAAAGCCGAGCGAATGAGGTAGCAATTGTGATGAGATTTTAGCGCTGTACCTTACTTAGGAAAAGGGTTATTTAAGAATAACATGTCACACTAAAATGACAATTCGAAAATAATTATAGAAATAATATAGGGACCTCCATTAGGGCTATATATATATGGTTTTTGTGTTAGAAGGTATAACTGCATACACTTTCTGGAAAGGAAATGTTTTTGTCTCACAAAGCTAAAAATGTAACAGCTTAATACTATCGAAATGTGTCCCGTGGTCACAACGCTGTACAGTATATACATTATTTTTTCAAGAATGACGTATCCGGCAATATGTTATAGATATCAAAGTACTGAAAGGCAGAATATGTTTGAAGTGTTCTTACATTAACTGGAAGACGTGACGTATGCTTCAGATTCGGTCACGTGTGGAAAGAAAATGCGTTAAGAACTTATTTTGTATTTCAAGAATAAGATCCCCAACGGTGTAATTACCGGAAGCGGGAGTTTAAAATATCAAAGTTAGAGGGTGAATCACATTGCACGTAGAAGGTTTTTTTTAGAAGAGTGGTCGGTTGCTGAAGTGAAGTGTTGCGGGGGCTCTTAACACGCGCTAAAAGGGTCTCGTGGCTCGATGCCGCGAGCTCTCTTTGGCACGCCGCTCGAGCCATTTGGAGATGTCCAATTATGACCCACGTTGGGAATTGCATAACAATTCAAATTCAGACATTATTCTGCTCGTCAAGTGGGAGGGATGGTACGTGCGTGGGTAGGAACTCAGATACATACGCACTAATTGCAAATGGCCAGTTCCTGTTATAGTTTTTTTCTTCCTTTTTTTGGATCCGTTTTGACAAATTGTAGAATTTCTCTATACCCGGTAAAAATCAGTCTTAGGCATCAGAAGGGTGAAGATCGATTGTGCTTTACTTTATTTAATCAATTGGGAGAAACTGAATAAGTCAGCTAGAGAATTTACTGAAGACACGTACATACGTCCCAATTCTTACGTGCAGTAGTATTATATAACAGAACTCCCGTTGGTACAGCATTCCGCACATTTCACAACCACATATAGTACCGCTACTTGCGCATTCTCAACCGGTTCACAAAAAACGCCTAAAAGCGAACAAATTCTTTTTTTCATTCCAAACTGGTCCCCAGAAGATACGCAAACGCATGCGTAAAGTAAGACGTTTATTCCGAAAAAAGTTTGCCGACGTTATTTAGGAAATGAGCAAGTGAGAGAGGGGGACACCAGACGTAAGGGAGACAGCGAGTGATTTAAATCCTGAATCACCGCTTGGAGTTTTCCCCCTTCTCATAAACGATGCATGATCGTCATGTCATGATTGGATTTCTGAACAAATAACTATTACAACATGATAAAAAAAACTAGAAGTTAGTCAACAGTGTCAACGAATGCATCCCAGTATCTCATGGGTCCAACGACAAATTCAGTGTATGCAGTTGTCTATTTTTAAGGAGAGAGCTATAAGGTAAGTTCTGTGTTTAAATATTTATATTTGTGTCGGCATGCAACGTCAGGCATGATTTAAGTTAGCCTACATCTGTCAAATGAAGAACCTAAACACTAATCATAACCGAATTCTCTAATGAGACAATATTTTGAAACTGGATTGAAGTTATCAAACATGTAGCGAACGTTTATCGTAAATAAAACCATTACCCTAATGTATAACTAAGAAAACGAAGTGCACATTTTAGTCGCTGTTCTGTCGTTCCTAATTTAGTTATACAAACCCCTAATTAAAACCAAATTGAAGTTGACTTTGCACTACGTAATCGCCTTTTTCAATTAGATATTAAGACATTGGTTAAAGAAACATTAGTTGAAATTAATTATTCTTTTTGTTGTCACATTCAGAGTGAGCACATCTCAGTCTTCGGTATAAGGTGAAATACAAGCCTAGATTGTAGTCTTTTTTCTCTTTAATCAATGTTCAAACATTATACTGTTTGCGGTTTGTCTAATTGTGTAAGGTACAATGAGGTGTCCGTCGCGACGTGACTTAGATATTTATTCAAGCACGTGTAACCTGGAGTACTGAACAAAGTTCTAAAATTATCTATGTTGATGAGCGCCTTCTTACAAGAAACGTAAGGAATGTGGATTTTTCAGAGTGCCGCGCCCATTTCATACCTGTATTACTCATAAATTGACTAAAACCTGCGTAACAGTTTTTCCGAAGAGATTTCACACAGTTTTTCAATTTCTTAAAGGGTAACGTATAATGATAGTTTATTCTGGGCATAGGTAAGCTAAAATAAGTGTTACATAACTTCTGTTAAGCGCGCATGTGTGTACACCTACGTACCAAATATTTGTACATATTTTAGGGTTTCGGTGTTTTTTTTAAAGTTTTTTTTCGTTTTACACGTCTTTGATTTTGATTTAAAGGAATGGTTAAGAGGAAGAGAAACAAAACAATTAAATAAATTATTGAATTCACCAAACAAATTATTTTTATGCTATTCACGGTTGACAGGTACTAAGCGCCTCATGACTAATTATAGGATAGTTAGTTTCCAGCTACGTTCCTAGAAGGTCCTGTGTATACGTTTCGTTTACATTTGTTTTTATGGAATTGTTCTAATTAGATCAATTAAGTGCGTAATCGCCACTAGAAACTGAGTAATTGCTTTACACATCCACGTATTTCTTCGAAATTATTGCATTTAATGTTTGTTTTAATGTAAAGGCCAATTTATGTAATTAGGCTAATTTAGCAACAAATAAGGTGACTCAAAACTCTGTGTTGACATCGTCCTCGAGGAAGCTTTTGTCTTAGGGGAGGGTTCTTAGCAAAGATGTGCGTGATTGCTAATGGTATAAAATGTGCAGCAGTGTGAACTACGTAGCTGTCTTGGATCCCTGAAGGCTGTGGATGATCATTTTTGTGCTGTGGCTCACAGCCTTGTTCGTGTTGCTTCCTGGGCTATACACGTGATGTGTAGCATTTATGATTATTCATATTTTGTATAAGAGATGTTTCTTAAACATTATAGAGGAAATCCAAAGATAGTCAATAATTTTAAAATGTTTTCTTTGGTAGGAACCTGAAATGTGGAGTAATGAGCAAAACTTTAACTGCTTAGTTGTTGCTTAGATGTGTCTTGATTGCAGACTTTTGCTACCATCTAGACCAGGGTTTGTTCTTTTCACTTCTAGATTATCTAATTATTTAGGGTTAAGCATATTGTCTGAGGTACTACACTGTTTTTGACCCTGTAAATAAGAATGTACTAATTAAATTCCATTTAATATCATACTTCAAGTACTCAGGTCCAGTAATTCTGAGCTACCAAATCAGTTATTTAGATTAATATTAATCTAAAGAAGTTATTAACGGTTAATATTAATTGTTAGCAGATGTAGTATCTAAGTCTTTAAACTGTGAGTTGGAAATTGGTAAGTGGTTAAATGTCCGTATCAGAATATGGAAAACAGAACTGAGAGATGACAATGTGAAATAAACAGCAATGTGGTATATTGGAGTGTCATGTTGTTGAGATGCACTAATACACAAATCAGGGCCGGAGCCTGGCCTGTGCATTTTATAACTCATTACAGAACAGTGTTTCAATCCATTCTTGTAGGACTGAGTTGTTTTCACTTTCTTCATGTGAGAGGAATTGCATCCGGCTGCTGATGTGAGGTCAGCGCTGGATGACCTGTGTGGTAGTTGGGGCCTGGGAACAGAGCTGGCCATGACAATAAGTGTGGTGTTAATGCTTCCCTTTAGATCAGCTAGTGAACGTAGATGTCTGATAGCTTATGACTTAAATAAAAGATATATATGCATGCCCATCATATATATACTGTGTATACATATATTAAATATATATACACATACATAATATATAATATATACACACACACACCAGGATATATTATATATATATATATATTCCTGGTGTGTGCTCAGCATGAATAAAGCATTGGATTGTTGATCGTTATTCATTGTGTCTGATAGCCGGAGCGCAGATAGATGAGCTAATTGATGGTATGGGATCACTGCTAGCATTAAAGCTGCAGATTCACTTCTAATACGGCACCTCCAATAAACTCCTCCCAGCAGCGGTTCCTGAATCTGGGTGAGACTAATTCTTCCCCATTTCAATCTTTGCTGCCTTCACTCTTAATGTTGCCTGGTGCTTCAGGCCCTTAAATCCACCTCCAGGATCTTCCACCTGTCACAATATATTTTATTAAAAGTACTTTTCAAGCTTGAATTGTATGCAGTATGCTTGTCCTGGGCATATTTTCCTGCTGCCTGCACAGTATATTGTCACGGCGGTCTCCCAGTGCACAGGTCTGTCTACCTTTTCTGCTCACAGATCTTTGCAGAGGCACTGGCATGCCTCTGTCTTTCCAATCGTTTACCGAATGCTGACTATCTCCCTGAAGATATTTTCACTTCTGGCATTTCTTGTCCCTTCATTCTTCCATAATTCCACACTTCATCATCCTTGTCCATTAGTCCAACATTGTTTGTCATTAATATTATCATTTTTTCAAGTAACAACCTTTCACTTTAAAATGAGTTGTGCTTTGTTGCTTGACAATGATTTCATTCAAATTTATCTTTTCTGCCTGTTTCTATAGCTAAATTTAGTGAGGCAAAGGGTATATTGAACGATGTGAATGACCGATATGAAGCTGTTGATAGGGGTAATCACACACAGTATTAGGGCGAAAGCACTGCCTACTTAGCTTACAGATGTTCTCCTTGGGAGTTTAATGCATAGGAGAGAGTAATTTGGACTTTAGGATGAGTGGGTGAATCCTTGGATGTCCAGTGTTTTAAATTAAGTTTTGGTATTCAGGTATAGGGAATAGGCATAAGATAGTAGTGCTGGCTTGAAAGGTTAAGGGTGTTTGATTTTATGGTAAATCTGATGGGCAGAGGTACACACAGGCTTAGTCAGGCTTTGTACTACAGCATCTCCATTAAGTTATGAAACAATGGGCTGCAGTTTGCAATATGCAATCAAGTCATGTTGTCAAACAGAGTGTGAAATTTCTGTGCCATATGTAAGAGTCTTTCTTTGAGTTTCTAGACTATTGGAATAGTACCAGGTCATTAATGAGCCACTTATCAAACTATCTCAGGGAAAAGGGAGAATCAGTATGGAATAGCAGTAGCTGCTGAGGAGTGTATGTGTAGGGGAACCAGGTGGCTGCCATGCCTGTGACCCAATGCTCACCAGTTCAGTGGCAGAGTGATGTCATCATTGAGCCCTTCAGTCAGACCCTTTACCCTCAGTTGCTCCAGGGACTGGCTGGCCCTGCTTTTGCATTTGGTGTATTTTATGCAGTTTTTGCAGTAACTGGAACGCTAACCTGCTTTTGACTGACCTGCATATTCTCATGAATCCCTCCCCCACTACTGAACGGCTGCATTTCTTTCATTTTCCCCATTGTTCTGAAATGTTCTGTAGCTGTCACTGGTCAGACCTCAGCCCCTCCTCACTTCTCTTTATGTGCGGTTTGAAAAGGGGAACTTAACCCAACTCCTCCACCCAGATGCCCATGTCAGGCGGTTTGCTGGTATCTCATTGTCCACCTCAGGCTTTTAGTTTCAAAAATTGCAAACAGCAGCTGTACTGAGAGTGCTAGTGCAGAGACGTATTATGGCTGATGTCTTCTATCTAATTTTAACAAGATGTCATGCCATCATGTATTCTGCCAAGTAAGCATCTTGATTCACAATATAATGCATTATTTTCCTGTTGCACATTGTAGACTCATTTTGCCATAATTCTCTATACATCGTTCTATATAGCAGTGGTTGCCAAAGTGTCGACTTTGAACTACACCTTAAGTACTCTTAGTGTATTATAACAGCAATCAGGTTGATATGGTTTAGTCTTCCACATATATGCAGTTGTTGCGTGAATTGAGTCCCGCTTTACCAGAGACTGTGCCATAATTTTAGAGGAGACTTCAAACTGGGAACAAACATTTAAGTTTGATGGGCACTTGTGTGCAATTAGGAGGTCAGAAACTGCTGGCATGCAATGAGAATCAGTCTTAAAATTGATGTCAAGCTTGGATAAAGAAAGGTGTGTGTGGGTGGAGGACATTCTCTAAGACTGAGATGCATAGTATTAACCAAGGCAGAGAGGTGACCTTTATAAATGCTGTTCTGCATGTGTCTTTAGTATTAACCAGGAAAACCACACTTCACTGGGCACCATACCATAGTGAGTTTCATGATAAAAAAGAATAGCAATGGATTGGAGAAGCATGACAGAGAAGATGTTGAAGCATTTGTGAAGTTATTAAAGGGCCTTATTGCAGAGACCTAATCATAGATTTAGGTATGAATGATGGAAGTTGTGTTCATAGGGAAGACGTATTAACTTCAGAACCAGCTACAGCCACTTGCAGCAGTTAAACAGTGCTTGCTGGAAGAAGAGGATTCTCCAAGGAAGACTGTAAAATGCTCATGTCAGACGGATGTCCATCTCTGCATGGATAGTCAGGTGCTTTGCTCTCCACCAGCTCCAGGATTATTTTCCCCTCACTAAAACAGCATTGTTTTGATTTTCATGTTACATTTGGATTTAGGCCTATTTGTTTATCAGACACTTTTGACCAAAACTACGCACAAGTGAGGAAAGCTTGGGGTTGGTGAGCCAGCCTCCAACACTCCTGTAGCAGGTGCAGATACGGGCCTTGCTAAAAGGTCTAATGGTGATATGATTACTTTTTGAACCACAGGATTTAAACCCAAGACCTTCTGACTCAGACCCTGACTCCTGAGCTACACACTGCCTCTTTGCTGCTGCTGTGAAGTGTCTTGCTTGACCTGTTCCTGCTCTATTCCAGTCTGTTCATGAAAATGGTAAATATTATAGTAAATCCTAGCCAACTGACTATCACAAGACCAGACAATGCTTTCCCAAAGCTACATTGCTGTCTCCTTCTCCATTAGACTGAAGCTTTGTTCATGAAGTTTAAAGGCCATGCTTGTTGTTTGAGGAGCAATAAACTATTGATTTTCTATAACTTAATGATTAAACCAAACAGCCATAGATAATTTGAAGGGAAGCTAAGTGATGTGCAGATTCCGCATGTTAATGTCGACCACGCCTGTGATGATTTAGAGTGGTGGTCTCCCATTCTCTGTCACTTTGTATTACACCCGCCCATCATCCAAGTGATGTCTCTCCATCCATTCATCTTGATGGGGTGAGGATGTGCCCGAAGCTTCCCAGGAACCACAGGGTGCAGGAGATGCCAGTCCATTGCAGGGGACACACAGCCGGCATTTTAAAGGGGCATATACCTACTTGCATGCTTTTGGGAAAACGTGTGACTTTTATGGTGAACAGATATGGACTGACTGTGCAGCATTACTCTTCCTTTGTTGTTTTAACTGTAAAATTTTACAATAAATATTTCTTAATTGAAAATCTTGGCATGGATGCATTTTGTCACATTTATTCCATCTAGATCTTTACTACTGCTTTAATCCTGGCTTCTTACATACATATGGACTAATTGGATAAAATTTTAAAAAATCATCATTTTCATTTGGTCCTTTGTTTTTCTGCTACAAAAAGGGCTCTGAAATCACTCAGAAGAAAAAGAATTCACGATTAATACATATAGTGTTTCTTTTTGGTGGCCAGACATGTGCTAACCTTTGGGATGTAGCTTGCAATAGGAATAATTCTGAAATTACAGGCTAAAGAAGCATGTAAGTACTCAGAGTCTGGAAGAGATTTCTAGAAACGTAGAGCCCCCCTCCCCTGTTCTTTCGGCTAGGTAGGGGGAGTGTCTGTGACTGAGTGGGTATGCCTCGTTGGATGTGTAGGCCTTTGTTGCCATGGCAACCATCTGCTGCTACACTCAAGCGTTCTCTGGCTGCCCACACAGTGTCACCACGGTGACATCCAGTCTGGAGTTCTGAGAAAACGGGGAAGAAATCAGGCTGTTTGAAACCATACAAGGAAATTAAAATTTACCATCAGTATAACATTATTACAAATCAAAGAATGCAGACAGTGTTGCCGGTGTGAGAGGCCTCTTGACCGTCCATCTGTCTGCATGTCACTGGTTGTGATTTGAAATGTGGCTGCTTAGAGTCACCTCCCTGTCTGCCGCTTTGGGCCCTGCAGCTGCTGTCAGGTGTATGTGTGCCTGTTGAAAATCCCGGTTGCCTGACGTTAATGAAGAGTGCTGAAACCAAAAAAGAGGCTCTCTGCCTCCTCCAGTGCTTTGCAAAGGCCGCGTCTGTGGGGGTGGATGTGGGCGTCACTCAGCCAAGCGCTACAAATATTTTTGTACTCCCAGTTGAATAAGCAGCCTAGGTTAGCTTCTGGTTTATTCACATTTACAGGAATTCATCTGCTTAGTGTCAGTCTTGTGAGTCTTTGATAGGTTTCGTTTAAGATATTTTTGTAAAAGAACAATTATAATACCTATTTTGTTACTATATTTTAATTGAGTAATAACTGTGGGTGTGAAAGAGAGATTGGGTTGTTTCTGTGATATGAGTAGGTGGGCGAGCTCAAGGATGAAGATCCCCAGGTGAAATAAGTTCCACAAAGCTGGGTGCTGTTTGACCCAATGGGATCAGGAGGTCACTGGCTCAAATTTTGTTACTTTGCCATTGGGTTCTTTAGCGATGCCCCTAAGCCCAATTGCTCCAGGGCCTGGTTGACCCTGCTTTCTGAACTGTACATCGCTGTGGACAAAATAAATTAATGTAGACATAGCTCTTAGAAAGAGGTCTGCCTAGGACACGTCATCGAGTAATGTGTCTATTTTGTGCCTGTATGAAGATTCCACAGATCACACAAACAGCGTTCTGATATGCTGACGTGGTTCCACGAGACTACATTTTTCTTTAAGTGGTAACTGTTAACTTATCTGGTACAGATACAACACATCATAGCACTTGGCCAACATCACTTCTGCAGTAATGCATGGTGATATAATTTATTCTTATCCTCAGTAGGAACCAAAGATTGAAGGAAGGATATTCAAAGTTCAGGTAAATGCTAGCAGAGATCCCTTCATTGACTCTTAGAGTGTAAAACAAGGAATCTCAACTCCAGTTTGGGGATTTATTTTATTACTGTAAATAGGGAGGACAGGTCCGTATAGAAAATAGGTAGCTGGAAATAGGAAGGAAAACATTTTCAAGGTGGACATTTCAAACGCCTAAACCTGTGGCCACCTGCTTGAACTCCCGTCCAAAAACAAACTGCAAATCACTTCAGAGAATCATTTCTGGAAAAGTAACAAGGCAGAGAAATAGGCAGAAATCACGTCATATTTGTGCAAAAATTGTAGTGAGGTAGACAAGCTGTAATTACACATTGTATTTTGAGGTTTTTGGTAAACTGGATGAGAATCATATTCTTTACAAAACTGGACACAGCTTTATAGCATTTCCAGAGTAAACACAATGTCAGCTGCGAGTGTATTACTTGGTGTGTGAGAGCTGCACTCATTGATATTCTGCAGATGCAGGTCCCCTCTGTGTGTCCGCCTCGTGGCTTCAGGAGTGTCAGTGTCCTGGACCGCCTGCTCCTCACTCACCCTGTCTGGCTGCAGCTGTCCCTCAACCACGACGCCACCTTGCAGATCCTGCAGAGAGAGCCCCCTGGGGTAGGAGCTGGAGACGCACAACCACACACCACAAATGCATGCACTTTGCACTTTAAACGTACTTTTAAACATGTTTCCTTGATAAAATGAAATGTGTATGTAGAGCAGATTTCACCTATGTCCTGGTATTTTTATGATGAGCCAAATTGTAATGGCAAGATGACTGGGTCAGATCAGGACCATAGACCAATGGAAGAAGGTGGCCTGGTCTGATGAGGCACATTTTGTGTTACATAATGTGGGCGGCTGGGTGTGTGTGCATTGTTTCCCTGAGGAGGAGATGGTACCAGGATGCACTATGGGAAGAAGACAAGCCGGCGGAGACAGTGTGATGCCCTGGGCAATGTTCAGCTAGGAAACCTTGGGTCCTGGCATTCATGTGGATGTTACTTTGACATATATCACCTGCTGAAACATTGTCGCAGGTCAACTACACCCCTTCATGGCAACGGTATTCCCAGACGGAAGTGGCCTCTTTCAGCAGGATAATGCGCCTTCCCACATTGCAAAAATTATTCAGGGATGGTTTGAGGAACATGAAAAAGTGTTGAAGATGTTGACTTGTCTTCCAAATTCCCCAGAGCTCAATCCAACCCTGAACCCGAACAGTGCGGAGTGGTGGCTCTGAGGCTAGGGATGTGTGCCGGCACAGGTTGCCGGTTTGAATCCTGTGAATACCTGCAGTTATTCTTCTTAGTTGGGTCCTTGAGCCAGGCCCTTAACCTTGCTTCATCCTGGGTATGGTTTTAATCACATGCAGCCCTGAAAGCAGGTTCTCCAACTTCTTGGGAAAATTTGGGGGTTGGTGTCAGGACTGGCACTCCAGACACCAGAAAAAACTTTGAACTAGTGTGGTGCTGAGGTATCACCTGCCCCATGGCTGCACTCGGGTTCTCATCCCTGAGATGGTTCATTGTGTGGTGGGTGTGACAATGCACTGTATCAGCATGCACTCCTTACCTCCTCAATCTGATCAAACATCTGTGGGATATGCTGGAGAAACAAGTCCAATCCATGGAGGCCCCACCCTGCAACTCACAGAACGTAAAGTTGCTAACATCTTGGTGGCAGATACCACAGGGCACCTTCAGAGCTGTTTTGGTGGCACAAGTGGGACCTACACAATATTAGGCAGTCGGGTTTAATGTTATGATTGATCGGTGTATAAATTTAAATATCTGTAATCTGAGTGAATAAGTCCTGACCCAGCCAGTGCTGTCTGAGCTCAGCCGAAGTGCATCTAAGAAATATTCCAAATTGACCTAAGTGCAAATAAACAAAAAGCAGTGTTTGTTATTTCATTAACTGTTTGGTAATTAGACAGTGGGGCAACACGGTGGTGCAGTGGTCATCCCCGCCGTGGCTCCTTGTGTGTGGAGTTTGCATGGTCTCCCCAGGGCGTCGTGACGTTTCCTCAGGGTACTCTGGTTTCCCCCCACAGTTCAAAAGCGTCCTGAGGTGAACTGGAGTGGGCAGATTGTCCACAGGTGTGAATGGTGTGTGTGTGTGTGTGTGCCATGTGATGGGTTGGCACCCCATCCTGGGTTATTCCCTGCCTTGTGCCTGTAGCTTCCTGGGAAGGGTCCAGACCTCTGCAGCCATGCATAAGACAAGATAGAAAATTAATGGATAGGTTTTGAATGTTTATCAGGTGAAATGGGTATTTTTTGAGTATTATGGCTATTTTGTGGAGATTGATTGGGATTTGTTTTGTGGAATTATACAAATAATAATTCTCCCCATATGAAATATTGGTATTAGTGAGTTAGGCTGCTACAGTGGTTTTACTCCGATAATGGGGTGTAGGTGTTTATGTAAAAAAAAGCTTGCTCTAGTGCATTAAGATGTTTAGGTGTACAAACTTCAGATGGCAGATGAATTGTTCATCCTCCCTTTTGCAAGAACCGCTGATCTAAAGCAGGGAGTGTATCTCTCGCCTGTGAGGAGAAACACCGTGCTGAGGTGGGACCCAAACCCATGAGGCCTCAGTGTGACCTCTGCAGCTTTCATTCTCACTAACTGTTAATCAGTCTAGCCAAAATGGAATGACCCTGTAATGGCCCTGTGTGCTCTTCTTCTTCCGTCAGTTTTCCTGGTGTCCTTTGTACCTTGTCAGCAGCCTCTGAAAGGGTGGTGGGCTGCTCAGCATTTCATTAGCAGTGTGCTGACACTCTCTGTGTTGACCCCTCCCTCCGCCATCACTGCAGGCATTTCTGGTGTGCAAGTCCCTGCTGTCCCAGAAGGTGCTGTGCGTGCGTCTGACAGATGACAGTGCCCCTTCTGTCGTCAGGCAGTACATCATCCGCGAGGAGGACTCCAGTGAGTGTGTAACCGGCACAGACACACACTGTCCTGGCACATTCACACTCACGTGATACTCTAGCACCATTTAAAGTGCCCTGTCCTATGCTGACATTCACACACTTATACATCATCTACGTGTTTGTGTATTTACAGTATATGTGAGGGATAAACCACGCTGAGGTATGCTGTCATAGAAAAATAATCAATGACAAATTGGTGTAATGCAGCCCGACTTGAAGTAGAACAAGTTAGAGTTCATTATTTTCGTGTTCGTGTTATTTTCGCCTTGAAGTGGATTATCCAGCTTATACCAGAGCTACTGGACAAAATATAACAATAATAATAATAATAAGCCAGTTGCAGTTAATTTTTCAGAAGAAACTAATTTCAATTAGCGTGTAATAATGTTCCAAGGAGCTCTTAAAAATACAGCGCCTATAAGGATGGAATATCTGGTCAGGCTACTCACTGGAAGCAGCAAGCTTGTTAAGTTACCATAGAAACTGTTAACAGACAGCTGCTTGTGTTTTGAAAACCAAGGAAAATTATACTGAAGGATGGCTGCTTATTTATGAGTAAAAAGTCACACGGGTACTTATATTTACATGTTAAGTAATACATGACACCACATTAATATGGAACTCTTATTAGACTGCCGGAACTACCTGTGTGGTTACACGACAATAATGAACATCCATATGACATCTTTGGACCAATAAGAAATTAGTATTTACCAAAGCCATGGTGTAAATAAACATAAAGCATATGTACATATTTTCAATTTTTAAGATTTGTGGGGGTCACTTTCAGTCTCAATACTGTCAACTCTTTTACCGCATAAATTTCTATATATGACTCTATTATGTAAGTATGTTCTTTTTATTTTTGGAGTTCTTGTTCAATAATAACTCCTGTGTTTGACAAACAACATGTAGAAAATGTTTGAGATGTTTCTATTTATGAGACATTCTCCAATTCTGGACTATCATTCTGATGGACAATAACACCACCGGCTCCCTATTTACATTTTCTAAGAAGTGCAGCACTGTCTTCTGGTCGTGGCAGTGAGCCTCTGTTTGTTCATCCTTCTTTCCCTCTGGGAAGTTCTTCGCACTCACAGGCTGGTGTCACATTCCCTGAGGCAAAGTCATTTATGTACACATTCCTTGTCAATCTCTAACTGTAAGAAATCTTCATAGATTTTACATAGCCACAGCCCCATGCTCACTGAGTTATATAAAGTATATTAAGTAGTCAAATATAAGATTTTTCTATATAATAGGAATTATCTCTATGTAATTGCAGTTTTACAGTGAATGCAGGCAAGCTGCGGTAACGCTCATCCTTAAGCCCATGGAACATAAGGTCGAGTCATTAAAAGCCACACCCTGATCTAACAGCATAGTTATCATTGCATTTCCTACTTTGGCATATACCACCTGATTATTTTCAGCGCGGTTTAAGGCAGCCTCGCTGTCTGGGATGGGAACCAGGTTGGAATGTTTTAAACATATGCTGCGCATCCAATTATAAGCCAAATTACAATCTGTAATGTTTTCATTATATAAAAACGAGGGAGGTATAAAACACATCAGTAATTATTAAGCACACATGAATCCAAATAGAGCATCTTAGGCCAGGGTCTCAATGCAGAAGGTTTCTCACCACTATTTAATGAGGGCTACAGAGTAATTATTTTATGGGCATGCACGTTAACAAGTTTCTTCTGTGAGGAAGGTGAAATTGTTGTATCTGAGCAAACTCATTTTACTGATGTTTGAGGTTTAAGGCTAAAACGCTTTGATTGGGCAGACCTGCTTCTGGGCTAAACTGAGCCTTCAGTGAGTGACTGAAGCATTTAGGGGTACTCCTTATTGTGCTGGGGGGGGCTGGATTGGAGAGAAACGGGAAAGGGGGGTATTGTTCTGCTAATTACCAGTATCTGACAAGCTTCTCAAACTGAACGCATCATTGTTAAAAAATCTGACTTAAACAAATAATTCAGGGCTCGTTCAGATTCATTCGGAGCTTCACCTGCTAATGCTACAGCCTCCAACATATGAGTATACCCCATGAGATGTATTATCTTTTTAAACATATTGGGCCATACAGATGTCTTTTTAATTTAGCAAAATTTGTAAATAAAGGTGATGTAATTTAACAAACAGCACTGAAAATTAGCAATCATTTGCTAAATTAAAAATCAACAGAAATGCAATCCTGGTTTAATTGCATCAAATGCCTAAAATTAAAACCATGAAAGAGGCAAAAATGTGCCTACATGGCAGGTCAAGGTAGGAGGACGCTTCTGTTATTAAAAAAGAATTTAAGTGCATGACTGAAGTTTGCCAGACCCCATCTAGTTGAAGAAATGGGCTACTGGGTGTGCTGTGGATAGATGAGGCAAAGGTACAGTTGTTTAGTCACAATGAGATGTGCCATGATTGGAAAAATCCAGAAAATGGCAACTGTAAAACACGATGGAGAACGCTTTTTGCTGCCAACGTGGCAGTGTAATCATTCAAGGTTGACAATGGTCTTAGGGAGGTTTTCCACTGCACCAGGTACCATATTTTTTGGTACTGTACTTTCGGTACTTTCCCTTTTCCATTGATTTCTGGTAGAGTGCCAGTACCAAAAGTTCCAGTACCTAAAGTACCAAACCAGCTGGGGTAATTTTTTGGTACTTCAGTACTTTGGAATGGGACTTGAAATGCAGCAAGATGAGGTAGGCAAAAAGAGAATTTCTGCACAGGGATTAGTAAAGTATCATCATTAAGGGATGCAATGCATGTGTTTCTTGTAACAACATAAAATTCTTTTAGTGAAACGTGGACTGGTATAATGGTCCAAACATTATGAAAAATCCTGATCTCAACCCAGCTGACTATCACTATATACTATATACTTGCAATGTAATAATTGCATGTGCATAACATGCGATGTTAATATCACACATCTCCCAGCCCTATAATATACTGCAGCCATTTTATGAATTCAGTACAAAATACTCCGCCTCGTGTGATGTGATTCAGTGGCGGTACCAGTTTTTATGCCAGTGGAAAGCACCTTAAATTACCATGCTTATGGCATTTCTTGAAGTAGCAAAATATGGTATCTGGTGCAGTGGAAAAGTGCCCTTAAAGACTCAAACCAATCCACAGAAGCATGGGTCAAGAAGACAATAGAGGTAACAACAAAGATGCAGACACCAACAACAGCAATTAATGCTCGACTGGTAAGCTAGGGCCTACACTACATTCAGATTTTGTGGTCACTTAGAAATTGAAAATTACACTGCTCAAAAAAATGAAAGGAACACTTTGAAAACACATCAGATCTCAATGGGAAAAAAACATGCTGGATATCTATACTTATATGGACTAGGTAATGTGTTAGGAATGAAAGGATGCCACATTGTTTGATAGAAATGAAAAATATCAACCTACAAATGCTGAATTCAAAGACACCCCAAAAATCAAACTGAAAAAATGATGCGGCAGGCTAGTCCATTTTGCCGAAATTTCATTGCAGCAACTCAAAATTGTACAGTACTCAGTAGTTTGTATGGCCCCCACGTGCTTGTATGCATGCCTGATAATGTCGGGGCATCCTCCTTATGAGACACCGGATGGTGTCCTGGGCAATCTCCTCCCAGTTCTGGACGAGGGCATCACTGAGCTAAGGTGCAACCTGGCGCCTTCGGATGGACTGAAACATAATGTCCCAGAGGTGTTCTGTTGGATTTAGGTCAGGCGAGCGTGGGGGCCAGTCAATGCTATTAGTTCCTTCATCCTACAGGAACTGCCTGCATACTCTTGCCACATGAGGCCGGGCATTGTCGTGCACCAGGAGGAACCCAGGACCCACTGCACCAGCGTAGGGTCTGACA